TTTCTTGACCACCGCGCCGCTAGTAGCACCAGTTAACTGGTCGAAAAATAGTCGTTTCATTGGAACGACGCCATTCAACCGAATGATTAGCTATTAAATAGAATATTTATGATAACATTCCCATGTGTCCATGACTAACAAAGAAAACAGGACTTCTATGTCTTATTATTGGCTATCAAACTACGACTTCATGGCAGTAGGCAATGAAGAACATCTTATATTCAAAGGACAAAATCGAGACAAAATTATGTATAGTCTTAAAAGTCGATATTAAATAGCAAATATTGTGGATATTGATAATAATGTTGAAATATTTGTGTCACTCTATCCCACATGCAATAATAAGAGACATTTTCCCAGAAAAGTTGACACGACCTATTGTTTCTCCAGATTTTAATATTCGAGGACAGGTTGACTTAATAGATTTTTAATCTTGTCCTGATGGCGAATATAAATGACTGCTAATTACCAAGATAATGCTACAAAATTTGAACCTCCGTCCATTGAAAACGAAAATGGCGAGTGAGGTAGCAATGAAGCTTATGGAAATATTTTTGATTGTTGGTGCTTCATATATTTTACAATCTGACAATGGACGGGAGTTTACGGCAAAAGTGATAGAAGAACTGGTTTGTTCTCTGTCCTTACCTTGATTGCAAAATTGTACATGGTAGGCAAGGAGCTCTCAAACTCAGGGCAGCATTAAACGTAGCAACCACGATGTGGAAAATATGATACATCTTGGATGACGGACAAAAATTCGACCAAGAGTTCTATGGGTTGTTTGTTTTGTTAGTAGCAAAAAAATTCTTCATTTCATCGAATCATAGGGAGGTCTCCTTATAAAGCATTGTTTGGTGGTGATCCTAAAGCTGGTTTTAAAAGGTACTAATATACCCTCCCAATTGTTGATGAACATTGAAACAGAAGCACAGTTACAAATATTTAAAAATGGGAAATGTGACGATAGTACTGAGATACAGCATTAGAGTTTAAACACCGAGAGCGAATGTAGCATGGAATGATGAAACTTAAATTACAGAAACATTACCCGAACAACCTGAAAATCCTGAGAATTGTTTGAAATCATTAATCTTTTTCTAAATGTGCCTATCTTCTAGAGATGTTGCGAGACCACATTGACCCATCTTATTCTATTCACAGCAGCTCGAAATAGATCAGTTGACGTTAGACCAGTCCATTTCCTAAGATTGGCCAGCCAGGATATACGTCTACGTCCAGAATCTCTCTTACCCTCAATCTTGCCTGTAGAATCAACTGCAGAAGTCGGTATTTATCATTACGCATGATGTGGCCGAAGTAAGCCAATTTTCTGTTTTTCATGGTGTTAATAATTTCTTTGTCTTTTCTTAGCCTCTGAAGAATAGTTACGTTACTTGTGTGGTGTATATATAGACCCTCAACATACGTCGGTAGCACCACATTTCAAATGCCTCTAATCGTTTTATGGCATCTTCTGTAAGGCTCCAGCTTTCTACTCCATAGAGGAGGATACTAAAGATTATCAGAAGAAATCATTAATACTGATACGAATCGAATAAGTAATAATGTTCACTTAGAAATTATAGTGGCTGAACCTAGTTCCTCAAATCTAGGTAACAATTCTATGCAAATGTTGATACTAATAACATTGACGAAGAATCTAGTCAGTTAAAGAGAACTGAGTACATTGAACCAATTTGTGTCACATAACAATGGAAAAAAGGAGCAACAGAGAAGTGACAGAGTTATATGAAGCGCAAAGAGCGAGATTGTTGGGATGCGTTTATCGAATACATACAGAAATTGAAGTAGACGATTAAAGGAAGTATTTGTTCAAGCGGAAGACAATAGAAGGTGGATGTTGACCCCGTTTTGGGAATCTGTTTTGAAGAGAGTGGACGAGGAGTTCATATCAACAAGTCCTCACAGACACTTCGTCTAAGGACTAGCAACCCAAGTGGAATCTGTGGGTGCGTTCATAATGGAGACTATCGCATCGTATCCTCGCCTAGAGCATACCACTGACAGTGATCGCTCGCATTTAAAATAATGCATTTATTTTACCTAAAATCGATAATATGATACCATCTTATGATGCGATCTAGGCACACTTACGTTGCCATGTAATTAATTGCTATTGTAACTTAAACATCGTAATTTCTAGTTATCAAAAATAGTGTTTTTATTATTATACCTTTGATCAAGAAATTTTTAAATAATTTTTTTTAGTTATAAATACCTTAATAAATTAGGGTATTTAAGAAGTAAAATTATGAAGAACCTGATCTGATGGCGAAAGCAGTCGATCAGTGAAAAAACTCGGAAGACAACGAAAAAGATCCGTCTGCCTCTGAGGATCGACTTGCCTAAAGGCAAATAGTCAGGGTCCACTATAGACTATAGAACCGCAGTTTACGATTAAGGCGTGTAATACGTCGGCCAATAAGTCCCAGGCCTAACCATGAAATGGCAGCTCTAATGAATTTTCCATTTGCTATTTCGGTAGTCCTAACCTTTAAAGGCACATTGCTAAAATGTTCATGTCATTCGGATTATTATTTACCGAGTAAAAATGTTTAAAGTGACGATACTTTTATGATTGTTATAAAAAATGGAATCAAAGCAATTTCTTGTTGATTTATCACTGTTATTTGATAAAAAAAACCGTCCAAACTGAGCAATGGCTCAAAAAGTGTTGTCGGGACTCCGCGCCATCGATAACAACTATTAAATGATGATTTTCTGCATTCAAACGCGGTCGTATCGACACGAATGATTCTGAGTGCTCCGGAAGGTCAAATGATGCAGTTTTTCTCGAAAACATCGAATAAATGCATGAAAATTATTATGGAAAACTGCAAAATGCCCCAAAAGGCCCCATGTTTAACGCAGAAATTCAGAAGAGATGGCCTAATTATTTTTATATGTTTACCGATGGTTCAAAAAAGGGAAATAACACTGCTTGCGCAGTATATCAACAGTATTCTGGACAACATCATAAATATAAATTACCTGATGAAGCCTCCATCTACACATCCGAAATGCTGGGTTTAAAGTTTGCTCTTTCTCACGTTTTGACAAGGGAAATGAAGAACTGTGTAATATTTACAGACAGTAAAAGTGCAGTAGAAAGATTATGTGAAACAAATAAATCCAAGCAATTGACTCATCTTGATATAGAGATATTAAAATTGTACTACGAGGTTTCAAAGCTCGGAGGAGAAGTTATTATCGCATGGATCAAAGGCCATTCTGGGATAAAGGGTAATATAATAGCAGATGTATTGGCAAAAGAAGCATTATCAAGCGGAGAAACCATAGTCAACAATATTCTACCGGTGTTAGATATAGATGTATATAGTAAACAACGGCTTAAATTAAAATGGCAAGCCAATTATGCGGAATCCGAAAGACAGTCATCATTTAAATATTGGCAACCCACACTTCTTAAAAAAAGGTGGTTTTATTCAGAGTCCAACAGAAGTTTTATTAAAACTATTAATAGGCTAAGGTCAAATCATGCTCTAACACCTTCAAGAATGTACAAAATGGATCTAGCAGACACTCCAAACTGTACTTGTGGTAAATATGGAGATTTAACACATATCCTATTAGAATGTGGAAACCAACAAGGGAATATTACATGTTTTTATGAAAACTTACGAAAACTAAATGTGTGTTTCCCATTTCACATAAATGAATTAATTTTCTCTGGAAACTTAGAAATTTATAATTGTATTTATCAGTTAATAAGAAATTGTAAATATAAACTTTAAACAATATAATGTACTAACCCTAGAATTAAGATAAAATTTGTAAGCAATTTGCGAACATATCAATCATGTAATAAACCTTTTAATACGAAAAAATGAAAAAAAAAATGGAAAAAAAGAGACAAAAAAAAACAAATAAATAAAAAAAAATAGGCCAAACCAAATTAATATAAAAAAAGACCAAAACAAAATAAAAAATATATATACATATTATATACAATATCAAAAAAGTAATACAAGGAAATAAAAAAATCAAATAAAAAAAAATAAAAAATAAAAAAAAAATAAAAAAAAATCACAAACAAACAAAAAAAGAAAAATCAAAACAACTCAATTATTTAATTTATTTTTAACTTACATTTAGTACTAACTCGAACTCTGATTGTTGTTCTGTGAATACAAATTACAAAACAGTCTGGTCAATTGGCTATGCCAAGGCCATTAAAAAAAAAACTGCAAAATGAAGTTTTAAGAGATAGCTGACACTCTAAAGATATCAAATTTTGACTATTACACATGAATATTTGGTTATGAGAAAGCTGCTTTCCAAATGGGTGCTGTCAGAGTTTTTGCTTCAATACGTCACAATGGATGCAACGTGGATCCATCACTTCACTCCAGAATCAAATTGGCAGTCATCTGAGTGGACAGTACCCGGAGACAGTCGTCCAAACGACCAAAGACGCAACAAACCTCCGGAAAGGTTATGGCCTCTGTATTTTGAGACCTACATGGAATTATTTTCATTGGATATTTGAAACACGGAGAAACAATCAGCAATGACTACTATATCGGCTTATTGCAGTGGTGAAGACTGAAATCGCAAAGGAAAGGCTTAATTTGGTCAAGAAAAAAATTTTGTTTCACCAAGACAATGCACCGTGTCACAAGGCGATGAAAACGATGGCAAAAATGCACAAATTTGTTTTAAATTTGATATCTGAAAAGATCTGTAAGATAGTGTGTCTATCTGTTACGAGAACCAAATTAAAAGACGTCTAAAAAATCGTCTGTTGTCTACGAGAGCTAAAATCAGAAAGTAATTTTTCGTTTTAATTGTTCCAAGTATGTCTGTATTTCTCGCGTGTAGGGTTAGACTCGGTGTAGGAATTATTATTAAGGGTTAAGATTCGCATTAAGTGTGCTTCGCATGTGAAAAATTGAACACGCAGAATAGTTTAGTTCATGTATTTTAACAATTATCACATAAGAGAATCTTTTTAGATAATTGGAAAAACGAATTTGCAAGATGGTGTCCAGAATTGCGAGTATTTATGTATTACGGAAGCCAAGATGAACGACGGCAGTTCAGAATTGACTTATCTAAAGGGATGCTAGCGGAGTTTGATGTCATACTCACGACGTAAGATATTTTTCTTTATATACCGATGTCATATCGCAATTACGTTGTTTGTTTTGCAGGTATACAATGGTTGGAAATAGTTCAGAAGAGAGAAAAATGTTCCGAGTGACAAGGATGCATTATGTAATCTTCGATGAAGCACATATGTTGAAAAATATGAATACTCTTCGTTATGAAAATTTAATAAAAATAAACGTAAGTACCTAAATAGGTTTATATTAACTTAAGGGATAGTTTATGTAAAGCAATACTCCTGTTTACGTAGTAGGAACGTCAGAATTGTTATATTTTTCAATCACTGTCAAAATATCAAAAAACATTTACGTAGGTTTACCACTGAAATGTTCTACTACAATTCAATAGCTACATTAAAGACGCTGGGATCATCCACAAGTATTTTCTCTGATTGCTTTGAGTACTCTTTTGTCCTTCGAGTCAGATTTTTGGTTCATACGTTTCCTAACTGTCGAGGTCTTGATAGTAAAACAACAAAACCTTCTCCTTCATCTCCAGGAAAGACCATTTTAAAACTTGCAAGTACATTAAAAAGTATTCTTTTCCAAACTTCAGAACTGCTGAATATATTGGTGGTAGTTATTGGTACGTCGTTTGATAAAAGTTTTAAGACACATATTCATGTTTTCTTTTTTACAGGCTAAACATAGGATACTGTTAACCGGAACTCCGTTACAAAATAATTTATTAGAACTAATGTCGTTGTTGATATTTGTGATGCCGAATATATTCGCTGAAAAAACGGTGGATTTGAAGAACTTATTCCAAAAAAATTCTGTAAGTATTAAAACCTTGTTATAACAACTTTATCCCTACTTTAGATATATTTTTGTTTATTTTTGATATCGCCATCTGTTATGGGTAAATTTTTCATGTAAAAGCAATCCAACGCCCTCTAGTGGCGACGGCAGTATTAATATGAAAACAGATTAAGTTGTTGTAGATGAATCGATGATAGGCACTTCTAAATCTGCTAAAATTGTTTATTTTCGTTAAAACTTTCCAGCTTAATTGAAATTAGAACAAAAGTTCCTACCACTTTCACGTTTCTTAAGATATCTCGGGGTAGGAAATAGATATCGACTTGCGGTAAACGCTATGTTATTGATAATTTGTTCTTCTTTTATAATTTGTAGTTAGAACTGTATATTTATGTTTATAGCGCTTATTAAAATAGCGCTTCCTAGCGGGCACATTATTTATTTCTTCAAATTTGTAATTTTTTTATTGTCGGAAAGAACTGTTTTTAACTAAACGAAGTTTGCAAGGATTATTTAAGTAGTAAAGGAATTATAGGTGTTTTTCTATAATAACATTCCCAATTTCCCCTACCCCTTATTTGAAAAGATTACTAAAACTTCGTGAAATCAAATAGGTGCAAAATTTTGCAAATAATACGAAAATTTTATTCTTTATGCTCTTTTATTAAATCTTGAAAGATGTTGTGTTTATGCGACCAGTGTCGGAGTTTACAATTTGCAATCCGTCATCAGGCGTATGAAACTAACTAATATATATATATATATATATATATATATATATATATATATATATATATATATATATATATATATATGCTGTCGCCTCTCGCCATCGTTTTCTGTCCATCCATTCGTCTTCTTTGATGGCTCTATCTCTCATTATGTGTCGTTCATTTTCTTCCTAGGCAACTGAAGGCCTTCCCCTTCTTCTTCTTTGTTGTGGTATTTTGTTCTTGTATGGCTTCGTATTCTGGCACTATTCTTTCTTTTATTATTCGACCGTACAACCTCCCCACTGAGCTGATAACAGTTATTCCCCTATAATTTGAGCATTTGCGTTTATCCCCTTTCTTGAATATTGAGCTGATGTATCCAATATTCCAATCATCAGGGATATTTTGTCCTTTTAAGCATTTGTTAAATAGTTGAACCAATATCTCATGTAATATTTTTGGTCCATACTTTACCAACTCAATTGGGATGTCTCCAGGTCCTGCTGCTTTACCGTTTTTCGATCTTTTGAGGGCATCGTTTAACTCTCCGGCTGTTATCTCAATTATTTGTGTGTGTTCGGATATTTCTTCCATTTCGATCTCTTGGCATTTCCATCTATCCTCTGTCAGTAAGACCTCATAATGGTGTTTCCACTGTTTCAGATCTATTAATTGTAAGTTATATTTTTTCTTTTCTTCCCTTGGGAGATACTTTATTACCTTCCAAGCTTGTCCAACTCTTGTTCCACCCATATACCTATCCACCTCTGCATATCTTCGATCCCACATCTCATTTTTTACTTTTTACATCTCGATTTAATTTTTGATATATCTTGTAATCTTCCTCCTTTCTCGTTGACATCCATTTCTGATAAGCAGTTTTTTTCTTGTTGACTAACGTTTGCATATTCTCCGACGACCATTTTTGATTTTTCATGTTTGTCTTTATAACCTAAAGCTTCACTTGCAGCCTCATGAATGCATTTTTTAAGTTGCTGGTATAATTCTTCCGCTGATATATTTTCTCGATCCACATTTTGTAGTTTTGTGGCCAGTCGTAATTTGTAAAGAAATTTCGTTGAATCTTCTTTTAAGCTTTCTAGGTTATATTTAGGGGATGTTACTTCTTGTCCCTTTTCTATATTCTGTATCTGAGTGTTATTGTTTTTGCGATAGTTAACTATCACGTTGGCCATAAGTAAACGATGGTCGGATCCACATTCTGATCCACGGTATACCCTTGCGTGAGTTGTTTTCAGCTGGGAAGTTTGACGTTGGATTACATAGTCGATTATCGAGCGCAGATTCCTAGTAGGTTGTATCCATGTAAATTTGTGGATGTCTCTATGTTGAAAAAATCCATTCATAATTTTGAGAGACATTGTTTCACAAAAATCTCTAAGGCGCATTCCGTTGCCATTGGTTATTTGTTCCCCATATCTTCCTACTACTCTGTTATTTTCTTTTCTCCCTACTCTGCCATTTAAATCTCCTAGTATAAAGATTTCACAGTTTTCTTTAATTTCAGAGAGTATTTCATTCATATTGTTGTAGAAATCGTCTTTACTTTCTGGATCTGCATCTTCATTTGGGGCATACACTCCGACAATTACGATGTTGTGCCCGTTCTTTTTCATTTCCAGTATCAGCAGTTGTTCATTTACTTCCGTCCACGATTTAATATTGTTTTTAAGATTTTCAGAAGATGGATTTCATTATGAGGGACATATTTTAGTTAGTTGGGCCACTACAGTATGAGAGACATATCAACCTATTGCTGTTTCAGTTGAGCCAGCGTAAAATCCTTCAATGACCAGTTAACTATTTTTAAAGAATGAAATTTTTGTCTTCTAACCTCCTGTTAATTATTGGTATTAGTTGGAGGTGACTCCACCGGCCCAGAGAGATGTTAAAATGTTAGAATTGTTATTAATATTATTTCTCAGGCAAATAACACTTTTTATTAGGACACTCACAAGTTAAAATAATGAAGTATACCAATATATTTTATAATATTTTTTGTCAAGTATATAGTTATTTAAAAATAAATTTTCTTATAGATGTAATACCGTTGTGGTGTGTTGACAAAAATCTTATCTCGATGTATATATAATTTCTTCTTCTGCTGCTTCTTCTTATTTTTTTTTGTCTTGCTTCAGTAATCAGTGTTTACACTTATATTCATTATTTCCTATGTTATGTTGTTTAAAAAACATGATTGCAAATTTAAATATAACATTTATTTGGGTGAGAGGCCATCTAGGTATGGGCCACCAGGGAATGAAAAAGCTGATACTCTTGCTAAGGAAGCAGTACAGAATTGAGTCTTTTGCAATATTTATACAGTAAGGGATATATTTAACTCTATAAAAAATAAAATAAGGCTGGAATGGGAGAATATTGTTGAAAACTCTCAAAATACGTATTTCCAGATACACACCACTTTACCATTCCTACCCCAATACATATTCAATGACTCGACTACCAAATTCTTCTCGGCGAGTGTATTTCGCTTAAAAACGAATCATGGTCGATTCCCGTCGCATTTATTTAAGCTTGGAATATTACTAACACCATCCTGCAGTTATGATATAAATTCTTACGGAGATCTTAGCTATATTTTCTTTGGATGCAACAAATATTTAGAAAAATCTAATAAATTAATTCAAACTCTTATTGAAATGGAATATTTGCTTCCATTAAGTCTATCACACATTTTGTCAACTGCTAATAGAGAAACCTTGGAATTGCTAAGAAATTTTATTAAGGATGTAAAAGTAGAAATATAAATTAGTCTAACTTCAGTGATTTATACATATTTAAAAAAAAGTAACAAACAAGAACAAAAAAAACTTATTTCCGTGCCATATATTTCATACACATGCACACACATTTGTATTAAAGTAATAGACTTTGGAGTTACTCGCAGTTTCAGTGACGTCAATCTAAAGGAGTGTATATAACTGTGTGTTTCAGTCGAGAGTGTCTTCTTCATTTAAACCTTTCTCTCAAGTCCTCTGCCACACAGTCCTATCATTTTCTCCTCGGTTTTCCTCCACCTCTCATTTCCTCAACTTCTAACGGCTCTATCCTTCGTCCCACATAGTTCTCATTTTGACGTCTGACGTGACCAAACCATTGCAGTCTTTGTTCTTGAACCTTTTTTTACTGTAGCCACCTCAGTTCTTTCGCTAATCACGTCGATCCTGATATTGCCCCTTCTAGTCTTACCCCTCCCTTGCCTTCTCTGTCAGTACATTCATAACAAGATTAAACAGATAGGGACTTAGTGAATATGTCTAGTTAGTGATGCATACTAACCGTCACTGGAAAACGTTCAATGAGTCCAACACAAGTCCTTACTTTGGCGCTCCCTCATACATATCCTTCACGAGCCTTACGTACTTCTCAGGAACCCATTTCTCTGTCATTGATCTCCATAGCTTTTGTCTAGAAACTGTGTCGTATGCCTTCTCTAGATCTATAAATACCAAATGTGGCTTCCTTTTCTCCGTATTTCTCTATCAACTGTCTCAAAGCAAACAAGGTATTCATTGTTATCCTTCCTGAAATAAACTCTTAACTGTTTTTCTCCTATTTTTACATATACATACACTAAAAAAATGTAGTTATTAATTACTTTTATAAATACGAATTGCCCAGCTCTGTATCATGGTCGTGTATATGGTAATAACGATGCAATAGACAATAACGAACTTCCGTGAAATAAACTAATTTATTTTCTTAGAAAAAACAAGAAGACGACTCTCTACCTACCTTTGAAAAGGAGCAAATCGAACAAGCCAAAAGAATTATGAAACCGTTCCTTTTGCGAAGACTGAAATGTGACGTCCTTCGGGATCTTCCCAAGAAAACCGACCACGTTATCCACGTACCTATGGTTCCATCGCAAAAAGAGAATTACGAACAATTGGTGGCTTCCTACAAAAACGTTAACGGGGTAAGTGCATTTTTATATTTATCGTTATTGAGAAGAGAAAAATTAAGTTACGACCTAGTTTTTGCATTTTAGAACGGAGAAAATTCTTATACCGGCATGAGTATTATGACAGATCTGAGGAAATTGAGCAATCATCCGCTACTGATGAGGTTCCATTACGACCAAGGAAAGTTGGAGGAAATTGCCAATCTGCTAGCTTTAGATCCAGGTTACAAAGATACCGTAGTACAATATATTGTGGAGGATTTGATGTTTATGTCTGATTTTGAAATACACACCTTAGCCAAGGAATTTGAGGTAAGTCTGATATATCGTATTTGTTTTATTTTATCAAATTGAAAGGAATTTTGGATTTGATAGTTTTTGGTTTGCCAATCAATTATATTTTTTTTGTCTTGTGATTTTAATACGAGGTTTGTCTTTTTAGTTTTTCATTAGCCGCTTAGAGGGCGCTACCAATAAAACCTTCCGACACATATGTAACCTCAATCTTATGTTGAAATAAATCGAGAGTTTAATTGCGATACAGCAAATAGTCTTGATACAATGAATTTTTGAAATTAGTAGAAAAAGTCCGTCGAAAAATAGATCTTAGCCCAGAACGTTTTCGAGCAATAATTTTTTAAAATTGTCGTAGAGGATTATCCCAACAGCAGTTTTGCTGAAATGGTTTCTGTGTTTGGGAATGAAGCATCTCACCAGCCAATTATTTAAGATCTCGATCCAATAGACCCTACATGAAGAACTGGGTGTTACGAAGTTGGTTTCTCGTTGGATCCCTCATTTGCTCACAGAAGAGCAAAAAGCGATTCGCGTCAATTGGTATCGAAAAACATTGGAACGGTTCAACAAAACGAGCTCAAAAACGTTTATAGTAGTGTTAGTGGCGATGAATCTTGGATTCACTTCTACGAACCGGAAAATAAACGCCAATCTGATGTGCGGGTGTTTCACGATGAGAAAAAACCAACAAAAGTGATTCGTTTCTCGCAGTGTGTCAAAATCTGGTCATGTGGCATATCTTGGTGGGACATATTTTGAAAAGCAATAAAGTAATTTAAGTCTATATATTTTTGGTTTTTATGGCTATATATAAAATTAAAAAGACAACCCCTTGTATTTTTAGAGTTTTTTTGTTTATATATACAACTCCATGCTAATATCCAAAATTAGCAAACATGTATTTATTAAATACTCGAAAGTCTTGAGAGATTATGGGTAGGATTAGTACTTGAGTGAAGTAGTTTAGGACAAGCACTGTACCTACTTGTTTGTGGAGTAGTATGCATATTCTAACCCAGACACAATTTATTATAGGGGATGCTGAAAATACTGTATTTGAAGACGCAGTCAGAATTATAAAAAAATGTCTACGAAATACACAATCGTCAGAAGTTTTAAATTTAAGACGATTGAAACGTTACACCATAAAATCACGAAAACTAACCAGATACAAGGCGACGTTGCCGGATTGTGAGAGAAATCCGCTAGAGTAAGTGTGTTAAGACGAGTTGAAGTTCCAATCTCTAAGTTCGGATAAAAGCAGATTCATCCGAATCGTCGTGGTGAGAAAGTTTAACGCTATCTGAGAGATTTAAAATGAAAATGAGGTGATTTTCTATCGTTGAGATGGAGGAAATGATGAAAAAATAAGTGAAAAATTAGATAGTGTTACGTTACCTGTCTGATTCACATCCCAAGTAAACGACGCCGACGCCAGCCTAACGGTAAACTCTCCAGTATTCTCTAGATCCGATGAGCAGGTATCTGCTTCACGTCACGGAAGGGTACCGTTATTTCTTGTACATTAAATGAAAGTTTCAAGAAGTAGGACCGGAGTATATAAATATGCGAAATTTAATTATAACATTCAGTAGAAATAAAAAATTGATGTTTGTATGGTTTTAAGTCGGGAATATAACGCGTGCATATAACACTTTTTATCTTTTCTAAAACGCTCCAAGAATCACATTCGAACGAGTTTTTGTTCCTGGTTAGCGAATGGGGCATCCATTTTGCATACATATTATGTGTGAAACTCAAAACTTAAGCCAAAATATTTCTCACATTTTCTTATGAAGTTCTTGTGTTAAAAAAATTGGAAAAAAGAAGATAATGGCAAATACTTCATTTAATTTTTTTTTATATGAAAGTGTCATGTACTAACGTATCAACTTTCTTTTGATTCCAGTGTTTAACACCATTTCTACTGCCAGATCATTTAATGTTAACCTCGGGTAAGTTCCTACAGCTCGACAAAATGTTGGTGGAACTGAAAGAAAACAATCATAGAGTATTAATATTCAGCCAGTACGTTATAATGTTGAACATAGTGGAGGAATATTTAAGGATTAGGAATTATAAGTATATGCGACTAGATGGAAGTACAGCTGTCAGTATTAGGTAAGTGAATATTAGTTTATTATTAGGTAAATAGCATATAGGTATAGTTAACTTAATTTTGACGAAAATTAGGAAGATTCGGTACTAAATATTGCTTCAGACTGAAGGAAACTTTATATATGCTGCTCCAATTCTTCTCTATAGTGTTGAAACTTTAAGGAATATACATATTTAGAAGGTGAGGAAGTGAACAGGTGTTATTTAACATGGGATTGAATGCTTATCTTTCAAAGGAGATAAACAGACAGCATATATCGACAACAGCGTTACGCTACGTCACTTACGACTGTAGCATTCAGATCGTGAGAATTTTCTTTGCACTAGATTGGTAAGAATTTCGTCTGTTGTCGACCGAGAAGGCCATGCCATCTTGTGATTGTCCTGCCCTGCATCCGAATCCCATGTTCAGTATTATATTTTCTTTAACTAGTTATCCTATTGTTGATTATACTAGGGGTACTCTCCGAGTCTTTAATGCAGTGATTCCCAGTTGCTTCCTGCACCTTTCTGCCGTTGACCATTGTTAATAGGTTGCTCCGCCTTCAAGACCGATTTACCTATCTTAGGACAAAAAGGTGCCCTTTCACTTATCAGCTTATCCGTACCGGAGCCCTTGGCCAGTAAGTGGGGGATTGCTTATACCGTGTATCACTCGGTCAATTTTTTACCATATCTGGCTACCCTCAATTAGTCTACCCTGCAGACCAACGCAGTTGCCCAGGGTGTGGCACGTGGAGCCATAAGTAAGAGTTAGGTGTCTTATGAGGACCAGTTATCAAAAACCATCTCCCGTCTATGACGCTCGTTGTGGTCGTTCCGATAAAAGGTGCTACCTCTAGAACACAAACTTGTAACTTAATCCGAGGTATTTAATCTTTATAGTACTTACTTCTGATGGCCATACAACCATTGAAGAGTTTTAGCCTCCCTGCATACGCCTCGCCACCCTTTGCGGTCCATTACAGCTCTATCCAATGGTGCAGATACATTGTGCGTCTGAATGTTCAACATCCCTTTGGATTTCCAATAGGTGTCGATACAGCTCAGCTTTATTTCTGGTAACTCTCTCATTACCACTTCTCAGGACATGATCCATCCATGCTAGTCTCTGGGATCTGACTATGCTTATTATTAGAATTTTTTAGAGAGGTTTCTAACTTCTGCGTTTCGAATCTTCCAGTTACATTCAGGATCTTGTTTGGGTCCTAGAATCGTTCTTATTATTTTGGTTTCAAGGTAAGGAGGCGTTGTTGTCCTTTTAGTGTTAGGCACCATGCCTCGCAATACATTCTTAGCTTGAGATTTCATAACAGTAATGTTGAATACAGCATTTTATTTAAAGCTCTCGCACCTCGCAACCTCATTTCCTGCTGTTATTCTCGCTAATATCTCATATTCAACTCTATTGTTGCTATTCAGTAGTGTGCCTAAGTACTTGAGGTTCTTTACCCTCTCCAGATTGTCCCCATCAATCGATATCGAATTGATATCAGAGTTATCCCGGTTTCTGCGCAACACTTCCATGAATTTGGTCTTGTATGTCTTGAAAATCAGTTTCAGTTCACCAGCCGATGATTTTAACTGTTGATAGATTACTTGAATACGGTCTATTTTGCTGTGCATAATGTTTGTGTCGTCAGCTTATCGCTAGTTTACCTTACTAAGGATAATACTTATAGTCTAGTTCTATGTCTATAAATTGTATTAGAGTTAGAAATTGAATATTTTGCAGCATTTGAAGATGTATCTATTGTATGTTCTGTATCTAAAGAGAGTTTGATTAACAAAATGTTTATTTTAGGCAGGACCTTATAAACGAATTTACCGACGACCCCAGCTACTTCATTTTCCTCTTATCAACTCGAGCTGGAGGTCTAGGAATCAATCTGACCTCCGCGGATACGGTGATCATACACGATATCGACTTCAATCCGTATAATGACAAACAAGCAGAAGACAGATGTCACCGAATGGGCCAAAGCAGACCGGTTACAGTGTACAGATTAATTTCGCAAGGTACGATCGAAGAGGGCATGCTGGAAATGAATAAAGAAAAATTAAAGTTAGAAAGGGACATTACGGCTGATGGTAAGATAGTTTTTTTTATTGTTTATGGTAAATTTTGAACTCCCATTCGCCATCATAGTTACGTTGAGCTTTGGAATAAAACTAAATTAATTTTTGTCGTCATTGGCTTTCATGAAATTGTAGTAGTATGTAGTATGAGTGTATCTGACGTGCTCAGAACTGAGATAATTAGTTGAATTTGGGAGCTATACATGTTTCTTCTGGATTTTTTTTATTTACGTCCACGTTGGGTGTAAGTTTAGGTCGTCACCCATACTGTTGAAACTTGCTGGTCTTGTAAAAGTAATTATATACCTTTCCATTTAAATGCTCGAAGAAATTGTAAAAAAATCATGATTTTGAAGATAGTAAATAAAGGCCGTTAAACATTCCAGATTGATACTAATTATATTTTGCAGATCTCTGATAAATATCAATTACAAGGAGTCCTCACATACAAAATTTAAGTAAAAACCGCAAAAGTTGCAGCTAAAAAAAAATCAGTTGCGCCATCTAACGCTGTTTCAATTTATAATTTTTTTTATTTATTATACCAACAAGCTTAGGGTACTTTGTACTATAATCTGATCAAGAAGAGCAGTGAATAGTTTTATGCTAAACTAAATTGTTACAATTGTCATTTTAAGAACTATAGTTTCATTTTTTTTTAAATTTAATTAATCAATTAAAATTTTGCTAAAATAGACGTTTTTCACTGAGGATGACTCATTGAAACCAGACTGATGAGGTTCCTTTCGTCTATTATTTGTTTAAATCTTTTTAACAATAGTTTTTCAAATACACTGCGCGTCACGAAAAAGAGGTCACCTAGAATTTTGTAAGAATTTTTCAATAACTTTCAGTTTATACATACAACTAAGTTCCCACAATGTAGAAACACTTTTAGCGTCTTTTAGGCACCGACAAACGGTGCCGACTGGTCAATTAAGGGTAATAAGTTTGCAGAATTGATATCAGTTTGACGACTTAAGATAATGCACGTATGTTTGTACCTTATTTTTCTTGGAATATGGCTATTCTGTTTTTCAAAAATCTTTCACTAGTGTACAGTTGTTCGAAGAGTAGACTTGTGCAATTTTTAAATTAAAAATTGGCTGAGAAATTTGCTAGATCTGTTCAAATTGTTACTTTGATTGGTAATGGAATGAGTCAAAGAAAAGTGGCCAGACAGCTTGGAGTCAGTCGTTGTATGGTCCAAAAAATTTACCAACGATTTGTAGAGACTGGATCTCACGAACGACGACCAGGATCAGGTCCGAGAAGAATCACGACGGCCAGAGAAGTCCGTTCTTTACAACGCACTTCTTTGCAAAATCGGGTCTTTACGGCTAGATCAATCCAAAACCGTTTTCAAAATGCTCACGGGTGGAAAGAAGGTTGAGGGAATTTGGTCTAAGGGTCGCTGTCCAGCAACAGGACCTTTGTTAATAGCAGCACATCGACAACGCCGACTACAGTTTGCTAGAGACCACGAGGATTGGACGATAGAAGATTGGAAAAAGGTTTTGTTTAGTGATGAGTCCAGGATGGTTCTTTATGGCTCAGATGGTCGCATCAAAACATACAGAAGACATGGGGAACGATACGCTGCTTGTGTTCGACGAGTATGTGTTGCTTTTGGAGGAGATTCGGTAATGTTTTGGGCATGCATTTCATTCGAGGGCCGTACTGATCTCGTATTTATTGATAGAAGAGCGTTGGATGCACACCTATACATTACCGAAATTCTAGACGAGCATGTAATGCCTTTTGCTGGGTTTGTCGATGAAAACTTTATTTTTATGCAAGACAATGCACGGCCACACATAGCCAAGATGGTAACGCAATATCTGGAAACTGTCGGTGTGCCAAAAATGAACTGACCGGCTCAAAGTCCAGATTTGAACCCGAATGAACATGTTTGGGACCAACTCAAACGAAGGGTAAGAAACAGAATACCTGCTCCAATAAATCGTGAGCAGCTTCGGTTGGTGCTCATGGAAAAATGGGAAGCTTTTCCTCAAAACGACATCCAGAATTTGATCAATTAAAATTTTGCCAAATCGAATGAGGAGTGTTATAATTCACAATAGAGGTGGTAATACACAGTATTAATAATCACGACTTAATTGTAATTTTATAAAGAAAACAGAAAAATTGTACAATGCTATTTTTTTTATTTTTCAATAAAATCATTTTGGAAGAAGGTATTTTTTGACATTTGTTATTTAAAAAATGATTGTATACTGCTTTAGAACATACTTATTCTTAAACATTACACAAACATCTAATGACAATCACTTTGTGGTATGATTCGTGAAAATTAAAAAATTGCAAACCTTTTAGGTGACCTCTTTTTCGTGACGCGAGTGTAGTTTCGATAGTATAGGCAACAGGCATAGGTCTACAGATTGAACGAGATAAATTCGGAACATACGAAACAATATGTATTTCGGCTCAACTCCGCTCTAGGTGGTTGGCCAACAAAAGGTTGTCAAATAATTATATTATAAAAATCCAATACTTCAGCGGGCTGCTGGATTCTGAACTCATTTAAGAACAAGTCAAAACTCCACCCAAATGGGTTACCCCGCCCATAACGTATAAAAATTGAAAGCTACACATAAATCTAGGATTTTATTATGCTGTCAAACCACTTATCGCTTCTCACAGATGGATATTTTGAGCGGTGTTACCAATCTCATTCCTCTAGATGTTTCTCAAATAAGGTGTTAACCATAAAATATTTACAGGAAACAAAGGAAATAACTACAAACCATTAAGTTTATTTTTGTTATTAGTCTGTTGTAGTAGATTGGTAAATACAATGAAAAATATAGGCCCAAATCCGATTTATTTAAAGATACGAAGAAGATATAACTCTCAAAAAGATCCGCAAATCGGTTTATTACACGACGATTGGCACCATTGTTACGCAAACAACATTGTTGCGAGACAAATAGTTAAACGATATTTTATACAATGTCTATCACCGGGTATGGATTTATTTTTGTCCAAGTTTCATATTGGTCCACTATTTCAAATGTAGTTCAAACAGACATATATTAAATTGTATGATCCGTTTTAAATTCGTTCAATCTGTATATGATGAAAGTTCATTTTGCGGTTTACCTGGGTTTGCTATTACTATGACCTCTACAACTTTCCATTAAATCTGCACATGCTTAACTCTGAATGATGCATTTAGTAAGTGAGTAATTTTCATCATTTGGGAGCTGAATATTTCTCTTGTTTGAACATTTTGAAACCTGGGCTTTTCTAGGATTAATATATTTGTTTACTACTGTTGGACTTCTTTAGGACTAACAAATTTTCTTGGAAAATAATCTTACAAAATACCAGTCAGTTCATCAAGGTCATCTCCATATTTTGGTGGGATGTATTTTTGAATGTTCTGCAAAACGTGTAGCTTTTTATTGAGAGTTTCTGACCCAGCTGCATCTGCATTTCTTATTGGAGCGTTGAACATGATGGGTCTTTTCATTTTTTAGTAACTTTCCATAAGGAATAGTCAGTACTGTTGTTTTTTTGTTTTCTTTTCTGAGTTTTTACATTGCATTGTTTAATTTTGTTTTATGGGGTGGATATCTGGTTTGTTGGATAAAATTATTATATACAAAACATTGCTGAGGCCGGTCCTCATATATGGAGCAGAAACATGGACTCTAACGCAGAAAGATGAAAGACCTTTGGGAATATTTGAGCGTAAAATACTCCGCAAAATATTTGGAGCTGTAAACGACCAAGGGCAGTGGCGCAGAAGATATAATTTTGAATTGTATCAGCTCTTTGATGAGCCAGATGTCTTAACGTTCATTAAAACAGAGCGACTTAGATGGGCTGGACACATAATACAAATGCCAGATAATACCATTGCTAAAAAGCTAACCACAGGAACACCTGTAGGAAAAAGAAGCAAAGGCCGACCGCGAATTAGGTGGTTAGATGGAGTAGAAACCGACTTACGAATATTAAAAATCAGAAGATGGCAACATGTTGCCAAAAACCGAACAGAATGGCGACGAATCTTAGAGCAGGCCAAGATCCACAGAGGATTGTCGAGCCAAAGATGATGATGATGATCTGGTTTGTTGCCAACTTTATCTTCTATTTTCTATCTTTTATTTCTTTTGGGTGATTTTTTCCTTCTATTCGAGTTAGGATTGTTTAATAAATTGTTCCATGCTGCTTCTTGGATCTGTTTTTGAGAATACCACTACTTCAAAGTCAAGCTGCTCGATTGTTTTTATCTCCGAATGTTATTCGTTGTTCCCAGCTCTTGTTTGAAGCTTTCCCAATCAGTTCTTCTGTTTACTATCTTAAGAGATAGCTCCTTTTGTATCGCTTCTTCATTGATTGTTAGAAGAATGGGGGAATAATCTGAATTCATATCCCATGCCTGTCCTTTTTTCGAAAAGTTTGATGATTCTTGAGAATGAAAACGTCAATCAAGTCTGGTATTTGGTTGACATCATTTGGCCAGTAAGTTGTCTCTCCAGTGGTTCCAGTTTAAGTAGTTCTCCAGCTTTTGTGGTTATTAATCTTGATCCCCATTCAGTATGTTTTGCATTAAGTCTCCACCTTGCGCAAATCTATTACTTATGCTCAAGAATTATTTGTACAATTCTACTTTTATATTATGTTTTGGGGGAAGGTAGACTGCCGCCACTCTAATATTACAGTTTTTAGTTTTAATGTTCACAGATGTAGAGTGTATTTCACTTGTCTCCCAATCTATTTCTTGGTGGTGAGATATGTGTTCTTTTATTATTATTATGCTGCCTCCCTTCGCCAAATTTTCTGGGTGTGTGGGTATCATACACTAAATATCTATTGAATCGTATGTATGTCTCCTTAGTGAAGTGCTTTTCAGCTATGAGACATACATCAATTTTTTTCAGAAACGTCAAGAACGACTTAAAATTCTTTTTGGCGTTGGCCATTGGCATTTCATTCGATTATGCTGAGCCATTTCTGACTTGTGAGTATTGCACACTGGTTGCGTTTTTCGAGGTTTGGTATTCTTTCATCCAACACGTTTAACTATTCCAATATAAGGTTTACCATCGCATCTGTAGATTTTTTGTAGTTTTTTTACCAGTATTATTGATCTTCTGATTCATATTCTTTTCATTAGTACCTATAGGTAATGTTCATTATATAGTCTAGTTGCTTGCCTGTTGAAGTTCTGGATTTGAGATTTCCTGGGTTGTTTAAGCAACTGATTGTTTTCATTTGTTTATTTTTAATATTATATTAAGATGAGAAAAAATTTTGAGCAGCATGATGTAAAAATTAATTTAGCTTTTAACATATTTTTGAAAATAAGTTACAGCAAATATTTGCTTAATTGCTGTAACTTTTATGAATAATTTTTTTAAGTAGAAATTGTCCAGCTCTGCTATCAATAATTTTTAAATAGAGTATAATATGAGTGGTTCCATCTTATCACCAAAAGGTTTTGAGTTCGAACTCCACTCAATTCCTTAATATTCTTTTATGTAACTAATTTAATTTAAATTTCCAGAATCCGATAATCCAGACGTCAAAAGTGTCGTGAGGCTGCTATCATCTGCGTTAGGCATCGACTCGTCTAAAGCTTCAACCTTAGCTACAGCTACAGTTACACCAAAAAAGAAATCCTGAACGTTACATGTTTAAAACCTTTTTGTACACTTTTTACGTAAATATTACCTCGTTGGTAGGATTAATAACGTTTGTTACTTGTCTATTAGACTCATGGGATATAGTTCATTTCACGAAAACCTGCACAGTGGTTGATCCATTTTCTGTTTGTTTAGTTCGTCTATATATTTTAAATAAAAGTATTTTTTCAATATCATTTGACTTTTTTCTTTTGAATAAGTTGGGGTGGTTATCTTACTTTATCATTTACATACATAGAAGAAAAATAAACTGTCTACGGCACTTTAGAAGATAACGATCAAATTATAACATATATTGATCCCTGCCGACTAGGCAACAAACAATTCCAACTTGTGACAGCCTACTAGATGGCCATGAATTCTAGCTTTGTGCAGCCATAGTGTAATAGATGAATCTGGTTTTAAAATATGTGGAATTTTTTCATATTATAGTGAAATTTTCACAGAAGACGACTTCGTTATGAGCTATGTAAGTGAAAGATGTTACCGGCAACCCAATCAGAATTATTCATGAAGAAAAAAGAGAACCATCAACGTCCACAGGTCCTGTAGTCAGCCGCACACATTTGTCTGGAGTTGTTCAAGAGTATGCTGATAAACCGCAAATCAACACCCAACATAGTTCAAATAAGCTGCCAAACAACTCGAAAATTAGTCAATCTTCACATTTTGAAAGGTTTTCCAAAAGCAGGCGAAAGAAAAGGTGCGAGGCAGGCGCGTTCTAAGCTTTCGAGCTGTATCGTCACTGATACTCCTGAAAAAACAAAATAGAGAGAGCAGCGACGAATTTGAAATTTCTACTTCCAGCAACAGTCAGACAATGACCAGCAAGAAAGAGTTGATCCTTCCAAATTTAAGACCCAAAAAAGGTTTTGTCCTTGTTCAGTTTAAGCTAAAGACAAAAGAGATGTTTATTACATAGGCAAAGCTTTCTAATATTATATTATTTATCTATGGACAAAGTAATCTCAACAAAGGACACAAATGGTGATGTAGTAGTAAGAGTTTTAAGGAAAAGTTTAAAAAATGCAGGCTATTTTTGTTTTCCTCTCATCCTCTCAATGTTGAGATTTTTTGATAATAAAATGATTTTGCTAAAGCCCTCACCTTTGGGTAACACAGTGAGGCTTAGTTAATTCCACATATTCTCATTCATTCAACTAGATATAGTATGCATGTAGATAACTGATTTTTTTTTGTAGATGTTTAATAAACTAGTTATAAAATACTTTGTTTCTGTTTTTGTTACCATGTCTCATTGTGGCCATGCTTGGGCCACAATGAAACACTTACAATCATTTTTAAAAAACTTTATGAAACTGATTGAAATCAATCACAAATCATCAATTTCAATGTAAAACATACAGAAAACGTCAACGTTTCTAGAATACTATATTTGAAAAGAATCATGTCTACTGACAAAAATAAAAAAATATTGAAGTGAATTTTGTCTCATAGTGGCCCACCCTCTCTTAATCCATAGTAGTTTTGGGTGTTCATCTGATGTCTTTCACATTTCATTTAGTTCGATACGTCAGCATTTATAGGAACCTCGTTGATAAACCAAATTTTTTTTTCGCCTGAATCTTCTTCATCGGATTACCACACTAGTAAACTAAGTAGGAACTGCGTTTTAATTATTGTAAACCAATAACAAAGGTCCAAGCTTCGACATTTCTTTCGGTTAACTCAACTATGATCATAAATTTTTCTAAGCAGTGTTAATTTTTTATGGGAAACTTTCCATCAATCTTTGTCAATGATCGATACAGACCATACCATGTTAAAATGAGCTTCCAGAATTTCTCAGAGTTAATTCTGTCCCGGAAGTTACTTAAAAGCATTTCTAGTACAAAATTTTAGTATTAAGTTTCTTGAAATTACTTAAGATCTGCTACTTAGGCTGACTGATAGTCTACCTAGATAAAACGTAACTATTTTAGCTCAGTTGATGAGAAAGTCCATTAAGAGCAGAGTCTTTGAAGGTAGCTTGTTCTCTTAAATAACTTTTTTACGCTAGGCCAAATACAACATTAAACCAACAAACCTAACACAACCTAATACTTTATAAAATGATAAAAACTGTGTATGTGAGTCCACAATTAACAAATAAAACTATAAAATATCTTATTCTCAGAACACAACACAGACCCAATCATTTTTAAGATAAGTTCCTTTTAAGGGAAGATTCAACTTGAGATTCAAATTCAAAGTGGAATTTCAATTTACTGAAACTTCTTTTACCTGAAACCACAGAAACAGGTAATGTATAAGATCATTTTTGACCATAATTTCTAATATTTCAGTAGACTGTTTTTACCTGGAAAAATATCCTTGAAGTTATTTCATTCACGATACTTTCCTCCTTCTTACATACGTGTAGCTTAATGTCTAAGTTATGCAGAGCTGTTATGAAACTCATACAGAAAGCAGAATATTGAGTAGCATTCAAGGTAAATCTTTCATTTACTGAGGAGATGACGTGTTCAGGAATTAAAAAATAGAAAGCAGTCTTGAACTGCTGGAAGGGATTTGAAATTGATTCATTACTGCCCTTGTAATCACGAAAACGGGCCTTTTTCCTAAGCTTCGAGATAGTACATTCAAGATCAATACCTAAATCTCTAGCAAGTATTGTTGCTGATTCGACAAATATTTTAAAAGAATCCGTTTTTAAAGCCCTATATTTGTCCCTTTCATGTTCGATCCATTGACGCAATTCTGACCCTGTATAACTTTGACTTCGAGCTGCAGACTATTTAAGAGAAAATGTAGCAAAATTGAGGATTATAATAAGACTAAAGGGGATCAGATATCTGAGGCATATAATTGTGCAAGTTCAACTCGACGTTGGCCGTTGGTCTTATTTTTTGAACTGATAAACTTAGCGGCAATTAACTTTTATATTATTTATAAAATCAATACTCACTCATCTATGAAGCGGCGTTTATTTCTGGAACTGCTAGAGTGTCAATTAGTCCAAGTACATTCATTAGGAAGAGCCCAACAAGACAACCCCCCAAAAGCTCTTCGATTGCGACTAAAAGAAATTATTGGCCCAAAATAAAGCCCTTGGAAGATGCAAAGATTGCGAAATAAACAAACCGTTAAACTACGTTTAAGTGTAACGTTTGTACCGGATTTATCTGTCTAAAACATACGCACGGACTGTGTGGTGACTGGTTTCATAATCATAAACGAGATGAATAATTTCAGTTTATTCTTGACGGTAGCTTAATGTTAGTATTTTTACTTTACATATTACTCTTTATTAGCACATTTTTTTTTGTTGCTACCTTTAATTTTTTTTAATAACACTAATTAAACTAAATAGCACTTTTTTTACTAACAAGTACTAGTTAAAAAACAACCCACAAAAAGTTATTCGTAAGCAAAATTTATTGTTAAAGGTTTAAACTTTTCAATTACATATTTATTAAAAAATTAAAAACTGAAATTTTAAAGTACCTGCTTATATCATAGAATCAATATAGAATAGATACAATCAATTATAATGGAAGTATTTTCAGAAGGCAAAATATACCCTTCTAGGACATTGAACATGCCTGGAAAGAGTCGAAGATTTCTCACAAATGGTATTGTTTTTATATAATTTGTTCGTTTTAAATTTAGTTAATCACTTAGTTGACAATGTACCGTTTATTTTCTGAATAAACTAGTAAGAGAAATTATCGATTTTATTATTTTTTTATATGCATTAAATGATAAACTTTTGTCTTCATTTACCCATTTTATTTTATAGGTGAGTTAAATTTACCCCGTACATTGGGGCAAATGGGGTCATTTGACTTAGGATTTAAAAAAAATCTTTCTTGAAGGATTATCTCTCCTCGATCATATAAAAATATAAGAAAAATTTAATCACACTAATTGTTTCCAAAATATCTTAATATATTTGAAATTGAGGTAAGTGTTTCCTATTACCCCTACCGACCTTAATAATTTATTTAATGATACATTTTTATGTTAACCATGTATGTACACAAACATATCTATTGTATTCCTTAAACACCCGCTAATATACGCAATCTTTTACGGTTGATGCGGATTTTTGTATTTAAATAAAAAAAACCTCTAGAGTCCAACAAAAATGTTTCATTCGTATATGATAGGATCGACGTGCAATTAAAACAATGAAATAGGGAATTTTCAAAAACCTTTATTTTATTCGGTTCAGTATAGAAAGTAGGAAGAAAACTGCAAAATTATTACATCTCTTACAAAATATTGACTCCAAAATTAGGGACATTACCTACTCAAATTCTACGTTTATAAAGTATCTTACATACAAAAGTAGCTTTTGTTCTTCGGCTTCAATTTTACAAAGTCTAATTTAAGCAGGAGAGTCTTGGCGAAATATTTATCTTTAAGTATCTTAGCCTAACTTGTACATACAGTTTTTATATAATGGAGTAAGCCGCACGTATGCTATTGATCGTGATAAAAGTGTGGCCTGTAAAAGGAACAGATTCACTCATGAGGTATTATTCAATCTGTTAAGATCCTAAATGAAATGTTTTAAGAAAAATATGCCTAAATATTATTCTAATTATTATTTTTTTTTGAAACATCTGAGTCTTTATCATTTATAAAGCTTTAGAAATAAAGGAACCAATGTTTCGATCCCTACATTTTATAAACAACTTGATACGACAACATAATGGAAAAAACTTAATTCAACAATTATAAGTTCTTACATCATTTCACAACCGAGAACACTGTAACTATTATTCTTTCAACACCAAAGAAGAAAAGTTTCCGACCATAACTTATTCCGGAACATATTTTCTGCTGAACACCTTAAAAAGAAAAAAAGTATGTAACACAAGAACTCTCCTAGCCGATGTTGTGCAGAGGAGAAGGATTGGTGTACTTTGTATACAGGAAACTCGTTGGAAAGGTAATAAGTCGAGATATCTTAGAGATGTAAGCAAGTTAATATATAGTTAATTCGAATAATATATAATATTCGGCAGTTGTGGCAGAAATGGAGTAGGTAACCAGAAGAAGTGATAGAATCATGAGTATCCAACTGAATACATGCAATATCAACGTGAACATCATATGTGCGTACGTCCCAGGGGTTCAAGAATTTTGGAAGGTCCTTAATTACGAGATGCTCGAGATTCCTGTGGCCGAAAAGTGTTTTATTTGA